TAATACTTTATGTCGCTTCGCGGCATTGGGGCCTCAGCTATGCACACTCTCTCCGTTGCAGCCTGCTTTGAAGGATTTAGCTACAATACTGTCGAGCTCATAATGACGAGATAAAGTCGAAACGTTCTTTTTGGTTGTTGGCGATCAGTTAATTTATCTACGTTATATGGTGAAATTTCTTACATAGGAATTTGTTGTTGTTTGATATACCAGTGAGTACGTTATGCTTAAATAATTAGACAACTCGCTGTTGGTTTCTATCGACTTTGATAGTTACATAAACAATAGCCTCCATTTGGCGCGAAAATATGCTCGCATATATGTCCGCGGACATTATCTGTTCTGAGAAACGAGCAGCTTTCCAAGAGCGAAGCTTGAGGAAAACTGTGATCTTCGAGATACAGTTAATATCCAGGGACAAATATCCGAGCAGTAAAATGGGGGCTATTGTGTCAATATTCGTAAATATTCCCCAGTCTTAGCTCGGGAATACTCAGTTTAGACCAATCGCGCGTGATCGAAAATATTTGATGATTATAACAGCCGATGGAAACCCAGAGTTCGCTGTCTAAATGTTAATCAGCAGATTTTTCTTACTTGTCCTTCCCTGGTCCATCGCATGCATCACCGTACCCATTTTCATTTTTGTCCGGCTGGAAGTTGAATAAATAGGCGTCAATTTGCCGAAATTGAAACCCTTGTATTCCAAAATAGATAGATAGATAACCTTTATTTTAAAACGGTAATAATTAGAGCTAAGAAGCTTGTGGGGTCGTTTGTACTAAAACCTAATTATATATCTATGAACTATAGTTCGAAAAACTACAATAAAAATCTAAAAATCAAGTATACACAAACTTTTCAAATCTAAAACTACAAGTGGATGGAGATATCACCTTAAAATTAAATACCTACGTTGACTCCACCTGAGGTAAATGTAAATGTTCTTATTTATAATGGTCATGCACTTAGCTATACAAGCACTAAGCTTAGCTAGTTT